TGTAGAAATGATTTAAATAATACCATTAAATTTGACAGAAAATAAACAAAAATAGATTTGTGCTATAATTATTAGTTATCATTTTATGTGTTTAAACAATAAGTAGATATATTTTAATTGGACATAATAAATAATATATATTTTGGAGAAATCAAATATCAATGAATGTATAATGAAATCTTTGATATATAAATATATAATATATATAACGAAGAAAAAATTGTATAATATATTTTGTAGACCATGATATTATTTTATTTAATTTGAAAAATAAGAATAATAATATTACATAAACTTTTGATAGCAAAAATGTAATATATATATTTTTGATTGCCGCGTTCTCAAGACTAGAGGGAAATGGTACCCATCTGGTTTGACCTGGAGAGCTTTAGAGCTGAAAGAAATGTCGGTAGCTTACATTTATTGCTTTTTTGTAATTTATTTCTAAGTTACTTTTCCAAAAAGATATTTACCCTTGAAAAGGCAAATTTGACCGTTTTGATTTTTTTTAAAAAAAAAAAAACCATAAGCAACAAAATTCATTTTCCTTAAAAAAAAAAAAAAGCAAATAAAAATGAATTTTAATTATTTATTAAATACATATTTCAACCTTTTCTTTTTTTAAAAAAAAAAAAGAGAATTCCTCGTAAATATATTAATACAAAATATTCAAATCTTCTCCAAATTGAACTTAGCACACCTTTATAAATAAAATTCAATTAAAATTTTTAAACTTGTTCCGAATATAATTTAAAAAAATGAAATATAAATAGATATTTAGAAAATACAAACTACTAACTACCATGTGCAAATTTATGTCTTATCAATTAAATTCACAACCATTTAAAGTTGAAGAAATGTATCGGAAATCTTTCTAACCAACTTCAATTTAATTAATACTCATTTATTTCAATCTTTCATTTATAAGTTTAAGAAAAAAAAATACTAATTTCGTAAAATATCAAAATATATGACCTTCCATTTCAATAGAAGATATTATACAACACACTGTTAGCTCATACACTCAGAAATTATCTTCGCCGAGAGAAAAAACATATGTATATATTGGGTACATCCGTAATTGTAAAATTGAGATTCAAATTGCCGAGTGAAAAACTTAATTTCTCATCAAAATTATGAATCATCTAATCTATTTCTTCAGCATATACTCACATCAGTTTGTAGGAGGCTTAAACTAACAGACTAGTAACTAATAATAAAACATACAATTAGCAACCCGGAAATCTATAAATAGAAGCAAATGCAACTTACTGCTTGTACTGATTTCAAAACTCACTGAGGTCAGCCTCTTGCTCTCATCAAAGCCCAATCCTGGCTTAAAAAATCTTGC